AGCGTCCTCCCATCACCCCAATCTCAGTATACCGCGAGCTGCAGCTCGCGGTATACTGAGACGCCGCAGCTGAAGCGGATCCCGACAATTATGTCTGGATCCGCCCATTTAGGCTGGGTTCAAACCTAGGCGTTCGAAATATGCGTGTATGACGCGTGTTTTGCGGTGCATGTTTTAACAGACATTTGCAGCCCACAAAGCGCACGTCAAACGCGCGTTTACGAGGGCTATCCGGCTGTATCCTAATGGATACGTGCGGAAATACGCCCCAAAGAAGCTCCTGTACTTCTTTGGGCATAGGGCGTTTTTCAGCACGTTCCGACACGCTGAAATACGCCCAAGTGAGAACCATGCCCATAGGAAATAATGGGATTTCACTTGCAGGGCGTTTTACAGCGCGTCGATCAGCGCTGTAAAACGCCCAGGTGTGAACCCGGCCTTAATGGCTCTAAAATTATTGCTCTCACTCCGTTTGCGGCGATATGCAACATGTGCGGCACGTAGGCGCACCTGACGCATATATGCGTGTGTATTAGGGGGGCGCGGACTTAAAAAAAATGTTTAAAAAAATAAATGTTATGCTTCTTTATTTTTTTTATGAATTTCATTTTTGTATTACTTTTTTTTTTTTACATACAACTTTATTGCTATTACATGGGGGGGCTAAGAAGCCCCCTATGGGATAGCCAATTTACATGACAGGTCCTCTTTAGGGAGACATCAGGGGTCTCCAAGACCCCTAATGTCACCTAGGGACCTCCAGAGAAGCTGATGAAGCAGAGATCGGCTTCATCAGCTTCTGTAGCTGGAGAGTGACACTGAATGCAGGAAGTGATGTAATATACATCACCTCCTGCATTCGGGGACTGAGAGGAGATCAAAGGGAGTTCGTGTACTGAACTCCCTTTGATCTCCTGTCACAGAGCCGTGCCGGTCCCGGCCGCATCGGGCACAGCGGATCTTGGGACCGGCAACGGCAGTGACAGCTTCTGATACAAGCGATCGAGCGTCTCTCGAGACGCTCGATCGCTTGACTGTAAAGCTCCCGGCCGGCCGTGTAATTACAATGGCCGGCCCGGAAGCTGCTCGTCGGGCTCCACAGTCTGCTCGTCACAGACGAGCAGACGAGTGGATTTTCAGCTAATAACCCAGGTGTATACAGTATATACTGAGATCATGTGACAGATTGCACACAGGTGGTCTTTATTTAACTAATTATGTGACTTCTGAAGGTAATTGGTTGCACCAGATCTTATGTAGGTGCTTCATAGCAAAGGGGGTACAAACATATGCATGCACCACTGTTCCATTTTTATTTTAAACAAGGTCATTTCTTGATTTCACTTCACCATTTTGGAGTATTTTGTCTATGTCCATTAAATGTAATCCAAATAAAAATCCATTTTAATTCCAGGTGGTAATTCAACAAAATAGGAAAATTGGCAAGGGGGTGAATACTTTTGGAAGCCAATGTAGGTGGCGGTTTCTTTCGGTAAAGTACTGTGTTTACTGCAGGGCACTCAATTTATTAAATCTGAACTCCAGGTTACACAGCTAAATTTACAATTAAAATACATATACATTAGGGATGTCCCGATACCGGTGCTAGCATCGATATCGGGACCGATACAGGGCATTTTGACAAGATACAAAGCACCTAAGATTACGCTATGTTTTTTTTGCACCAGCAGTCGCCGGCCACATAAATTAGGACCCCACCTGGAGCGTCACCCACAGGTAGTGACGGGACGCTGCTCTCCAGCTCAGCACCAATGAGGTCCTCAAGTGTGAGGAAAATTGTGAGGCACCGCGATTGAGGCAACAGTAAGACGGGGCCTGGGCTTTGTTCTTGTTCACACAAAAAACTATCTACTGCTGCAGTGCATTCTATATGTAGTGCATATGTGATACATATAGAATTCACTGCAGCGGTAGATTTACAATTATCCTCTGCTAATGTGGAGGGGTTAAATGATCAATAGTACATAATAGTACATAATATGTAGTTGTACTACGTATCATTTAACCCATTCATGTTAGGTCAGAATTGTAAATTTACTGCTGCAGTGCATTCTATATGTATATTCTATATGTAGCACATATACAGTACATATTAGGGATGCACAGATACTTTTCGAGTACCAGTGCAGATACTTGGCATTTTTATGAGAACTACCAGGGTTGCAGCTGGGACCTGGTTCTGGCACTCCTCCACTGTCCTGAAATCATTAGTCAATATTGTTTTAGAAAAACGGTCACATGACAATAAACAAAAATGTATCAGTACTTGTACTTGTAAGTACTCGGCAAGTACCAGTACTCATACTCACAAAACTGGTATCTGTGCATCCCTTTATTTATATTTATAAATATAAAAAATATTTAAAACAGATATGTACAAATCCCAGGAGCTCCGTGTGCTCCTTACAAATGACAGCTGCCTCGTAATTTTTGAATTTTTCTCTAGTTTTTCTCTAGTCTAGTCTTGGAGCTCAAAATTATCAGTACATGTACTCGTACTTGGTATCTGTGCAACCCTAGTACATATAGAATGCACTGCAGCAGTAAATTTACAATTATCCTTTGCTAATCTGAATGGGTGAAATGATCCATAGTACAACTACATGTTATGTACCATTATGTACTATGGATCATTTAACCCCTTCATATTAGCAGAGGATAATTGTAAATCTACTGCTGCAGTGCATTCCATGTGCACTGTATATGTGCTACATATAGAATGCACTGCAACAATACATTTACAATGGTCCCCTGCTAACATGAAGGGGTAAATGATCTGTAGTACAGCTACATGTTATGTACTATTATGTACTATGGATCATTTAACCCATTAATTCAGGGGATAATTGTAACTCTATTACTGCAGTGTACAGGACATATGTGCTATGGATCATGATTTAACCTATTCATGTTAGCAGGGCAGAATTGTGAGCGCCTCCCACAAGCTGAGCACCGAGACGTGATGCAGCGATCCTGTCCAGCGCCGACTACGAGAGGCACCGCATGAGGCAACAGGGATCGGAGTGAAACTGTGAGTGAGGGAAGCTGGGACAGGGATGGCTGTAAATCTATTGCTATAGTGTACTGGACGTGTGTAATGTATATGTAGTACATATATACAGCACACACCTCCACTACATTACAGCAATATATTTACAATTCCCCCCTGCTAACATGAATAGGTTAAATCATGATCCATAGTACATAATATGTCGTTGTACTATGGATCATTTAAAGTCACCTTTCCCTTTAAAAAAAAGTATCAGTAATGTGAGTGACTTAACTGATTTAGAATTGGATTCCCTCTAACACCATATCATGTCGAGGAGGTTTCTGGTCATCACTAGGTGTAGTGAAATTCTATCTTCCTTGAATGCCAAGAACATCTACAAGCAATATTTTATGACACGACGAGAATGGGAAACCATCATGGATGGAATGGTACCGTTTCATCCATAAAGGTTGCTTAGTAGTAGGGTGCATTCTACAGCTGTATTACCTTTGCATAACTAGGGCTTTGCCCGTTTGCCTCTTAGGTCACTTGTTTGGTGTTAAAGCTGCCTGTTAAGGATATTATGGCAGTAATTATCTTTATATTAATATCAATTATTATTGACTGGTTTCTTAATGAAATATTTCTATGAGTCTGTGCTTAAAGTAAATCCTGGCGAAAAATAGTGATTCAAGATTGGATCTTCACTAACGGATTAGAAAGGTAGTTTCTTTGCCCTCTATAAGGAGGTGCTAAGAAACTATATGTTTATAACACGCTAAGGAAATATGTACTTCTACAGGGAAGGATGGAGAATAAGAAACCAGCCAGGCAAGAATTGTAATGTCTGTGTTTATAAATGTTATTAGGTTTTATTGAGCAATGCTGTATCTTGTAATTTTAGGTTTTGATGAAAACAATAAAAACTTTTGAAATAAAAAAAAAAGTATCGGTAAATGGTATCGGCAAGTACATGAGGGGAAGTACTTGTACTTAGTCCTGAAAAAGTGTTATTGGGACATCCCTAATATACATGATCTGTTTTACTTGCAGGGTAAGTATTTCTGTTCATCCAATGCTAAGTTTCACACAGTTCTGTCAGGCGGCATAGCCAAACTGGTGGCCTGACATTTCTCTGTTGCAGTTAAGTAGCACAGCGAAGCCATCTCCCTGCCCTCAACCTGTGACTGTGAATATGCAACAGGTCACTGATGAGTCATTCCTCTAATCTCTCCTCCTTTAAAGCATGTTCCTTGTCAAAACATGCAGTACACCTGATTGGAACTTAAGCTGGCCATACACCAGTAGAACTTCATTAAAAAAAAATGTAAAATTTGTTTGATTTTCTAATACCCAAAAGGGGTCAAACTGACAATTATATGTAAACATATTGAGGAAAAAAAGCAAAGGAGCAGGACAGATTTTTTTTTTCCCCCCAACGAGTAAAGTTCTAACTTTGTCTTTATGGAGACCCCTGATGTCTCCATAAAGACAAACTGGCACATCATATTTGCTATAACATAGGGGGCTAGATAGCCCCCTATATGATAGCAATAAAGTAAATTGCAAAAATAAATAAATAAATAAAGCAACATATAAAAAATGTTTTTTAAAAATGTACGTACCCTGTCCTCACATACATGCAAACACAAAACACATGTTGAAGTCTACGGGGGCCAAATAAAAAAAAGCTAATGTTAACGTTTTTCAGGTGTCAACAGGGGCCATTGAAACGACTGGGATTTCTTGTATTCAGAGTTTTGTTGCACTTAGCTATGAGCATCAAAATGCCTAGGTGTGAACAGGGACTCCGTGTATCTATGCTCTAAACTAATAATAATAATACTAATATTTTAGTAAAAAATTGAAAAAATGGGAAGGGATCAAACCCGTCTTATACTTTCACACTGTATCCACTGTATCACACTGTACTAAAAATACACTTATGTTTAGTAAAATAAATAAGAAAGCAATAGTGTAGCTTTATATTTTGTTACCTTTTCTTTGACATGAGAAGGCATTCTCAAGTTGGCAAAATAACTCCTTATCTTCATATTTCTCATCCTTTACGTTCAACCAAAAACAGTGTTCTGTCATTTCATTAGGCTTAATCTAGGAATGAAAGAGATATTAGAATGATGATTGTATAATGTCAAAATAAATGCCCATTTTAGAAATGCACAGATTACATATGTATTATCGATTTTATCCAACAGGAAATCTACCTGTTGAAAAGTAGTTATTAAAATTCCAAACAACATTCACATGCAGTCTCCTTTCCATCCCATTTCCACACATTTTAGAAATCGTCTGATTATGTAGTTAGTGATTTTTTGAGCCAGTAGACTTTTGACTTTTTTAAAACAACATTGCTTATGACAAATGTCTGTTGTCAAAGAAAAATTCTAATCTGCTTAAGGCAGAGCTGATAAAAGACTGTGTTAGTTAAAAGGAAAAAAAAAATGTGTGCAGAATAAAAATGGAGAAAATCCATCTCAACATGTTTTCTTTCACTTGAATTGATCATTTATCAAATTCCCATGTATGAGCATCCAGTTTGAAAATGGGAAACATTTTTTTTTTAATTGAAAATGTATATTGTACTGTGATTTACATCACTGTTCAATTACATACAGTCATGCTGCATTTTTATTGATATAAAATCATGCTATATACACATAGCACACTTTGGGAGTCAAGCTGTTAACGGTACATGCTAGTGAATAAATAATTCCATGGTTCAGCTCAAAAGAAATGAGCACAATAAAACAGTATGTATTATAGAACACTGCAGAGATCAGAAGAAGTGGCTCGATATATGAACCTCATTCCTCTACCAGTCATTCAGTGTTCAGCAGTGGTGGTTCAAATTATTTAAGAGATGTGGTCTTCAGAAAGGTTTAAGAGTGGGGAAAAAAAAAGACAATTCTACATACAGCCTTACATCAGATACCAGCAATAGGGTATGGAGAGTAGAAACCTTAAAAGGTTGGAACAACCAAAATAAATGTGTGTTCTCAGTAGATGCTGGAGAGTCAAATAACCTAGCAATTTCTAATGTACTCTGATGTTAAAATATATATATTTGTGTTTTTTTTTTGGGGGGGGGGGGAGTATTCCTACACGAGTCCTTAGTTTTATATTAATGGAAATAGACCAGGAAAAGTGGAAATACCATCTAACACCACAGATGGAAGAAAAATAAGAAGTCAGAAGAAGACAGTCTACCAGACTTTACCTATATTTTGATACTAACGTGTTGGTTTCCAAGCACACATAGAACTGTATATAGAACTATACACAATTTTAATTAAAACAAAACATGATATGCTGTGTCATCATTAGACAATTTTTATTATTCAAAAACTTTAGGTTATTTCCTCAAAAAGATTGGTACATGGAGCTGGTAATCAAATAGTGTTTGTAAGGATCGGAATGCAGCCTTTCCCACCTGCTGGTCAATACTCAGCACTGCAATGCATCTACACTGCAGCTGCATATCCGGCCTCATTAGGAAGTGTTTTAATTAATTTCATAACATTCAGTTTGTCATGGCATAGCCAAAAAGTGTAATATATTTGGGTTCATGCCATAAAACATTTTGAAAGGTAATTTAGTTCTTCTACTGGATATAGTTCCAACAAGTTAACCACTTGCTGCTCGGAGCAATTTCTTAACCCCTTCGTGACTGACGACGTACAGTGTACGTCGCCAGCATCGGGGCTGTTAGCACACACTGTTTACTTGTTGTGCTTCCACAGCAGGGGACAGCAGAGCATTAAATGTTTTTCCTGGACCTCGTAGTCAATGTGTCTCTGTGCTGGTTTATCACCGAAATATAAAAAGTGTCACCTTGCCTTCTTTTTGGTTTTCAATGTTCAAAATGCATAAAGAAGGTCATATCGCAACTACTGGCCCCATGCAACATATGATCATAGAACCTTAAAGAAAAGAGTGGTGGCACAAAGACGAACTGCCTGACACTAAACATGATGGTTTTATGATACAATATGTATGCAAGGCCTGTTATGGGCTAACACATCTTTGCGCTGTTACATATCACTAAACTAAATGTTTTACCTACCAAAATATGTGTAGTTCTACCATGTGATTTATACATCCTGGCCACACTAAGAAGCCAGGAAGATGACTCCACTGCTTACAGTCTGCTCCCTGTGTCATCCCGCTATTCAGAATCTGAAAACATGTTGGAATGTGATGGTGCTTTACAATGCACTAGCTTAGCAGTGCAGGAAGCCATGTGAAGATAACCAAGATAATTGCATTCAAGAAACAAACCCACAACATCCACAGGTGAACGACTATGGTTGTTCAGAGCCCACATTCCGGTTGGGCAGGAGTTCAATGAAAGGGCCATAGCCCTGACCTGTAAATCACCCAGATGCCAACCACACACGCTGCAGAAGTGCCAAGGAAGGAGCCAAATGCAAGGTCCAGGTACTGAGCACATTGCAGGCTAGTTCCACTTCTTCCTTCCAGCAGCGTCAGAGTACAAGGCTCTGCCAAGGAGAAAACTGATTGGCATAGTTGCTGGAGGCCAAGCTGCAGCAATATGGAATTGCTAGAAGTGTCTTGCAGAAAATCTCAGAGAAAAATGAGTGCAAAGCGAGAGCAAGTGAGAGAAGGCACCCATCACCTACGACACTAGCAAAAAATGCAGGCAGCCTGCATTTGGGCAGAAGTGGGAGGAGTTATGTAGACTTGTCTTGCAGCTTTGATTAATTTGCCAGAGTCTAGTTACCTAAAGGTAGCCGCATAACCCGATGTTTAAACAATTTACCTTCCTGCAATGTACAATCAATACAGGATCGTAACCGTATCCTGTTTAGAGTGCAAAGCATGTAAAAGTGCTATTGATTTTTAATAAGTAAAAACATATATTTAAAAAAAAAAAGCTTAAGCCACACAACTGTTTGTAAAAACCCCTAAACGAAAGCAACCAATGACCATACAAAAATAAATAAATGTAACGCTTAGTCGCTAAAAACCTGAAAAAGCCCAAAAGCATTAAAAAAGAAAAACTTCTAATACAAATATTCAAACTGAGAATCCTATTTCTGAAACACCAGCTAGGCAGTGAGGTTTATCTATGCTTCACTACAATAGGTGACTGTGTCCTTGTACTCAGAAGGGTTGTCAAGTCATGTGATCATTATTCAGTTCATGCAAAGCACAGGAGTGCTTGCATGCATAAGCAATTTCACTTCTTATGAATTAACAAGGAGTTGAGTTCACATGGGCTTTCTTCATGAATTTATGAATGAATATTAAAAGATTTCAGTACATATCTAAACCCTTGTTGTTGATAGCACAAAGGTACATTTCAAAGATATTATACCTACAGTGTTAAAAAATTATCACAAAACTATGTTGATAAGCCAACTAGAAATGCATTACTTTTTGCCAGTTAAGCCTCTTCATCCCGACTTCTGGTTTAAATTCTTTCTTAGGCTTTAGGCCAAAAGGAAGATTTTTCATTGGAGGAGACCTCTGGCCTCCTAAAAATGCAGGTAGAGGTGGGGCACCCGGTGCAGCACCAGCCATTGGGGGTAAAGGAGGAGGCGGAGGTGGTGGTGGTGGTGGAGGTAAGCATCCACTTGATAGTGCCGGTGGTGGAGGAATACCAGATAGTGGAAAACTGCCAGACCCTTTATTAGATACACTTCCAGATTGAACAGGGATGCCATACTAAAAGAAAAGAAAAAAAGTGAAATTGTAAGATACACATCAAAAGAAAATGTACAATTAGCAATTTAGCAATGTATAAATCATTCTAAGAGGAGCAAAGGGGAGGGGGAATCAAATAAATAGTCTTAAGAGTATCTGAGACTATATGAAGGTCAAAGTATAGTCACGGCAGTTATTCAGTACAGGACAAGAGCTTTGTGCCATTTTGCCTTACAGAAGAACTCCAGGAAATGTAAAAGTTAACCCTTGCAGTGCGGCTAACCAATCCTCGGCCCTGCGGCTGGAATCACTCACCTTTCTCCCTGTTAGCTCTAGCAGTGGAATGCCCCTTGACGTACTTGAATCGAATGCAGCTGCATTAGACGTGATGATGTTAGGCGTCCTTGGACCGCCAGAGCCCTGGGGAGAGGAGACTGTGGGGAACGGATTAGCAGTCAAGACCAAGAATCTATTTATTTTAGCTCCTAGACCAAAATGAACAGTTAATCCTTGCAGTGTGCAGGTGGTCCCACTACAAAGGTTATTTTTGTTTACATTTCATTTCCTGGAGTTCTTCTTTAACTTCATTTGCAAAATAAATCTAAAATAATGCAGAGACGTTCATATAATGGAATGGATATACTCAGAAACAAAGCTGACCGCTTACCCAACCTTTAGATCAGCTAATAGCACATGGTCTCAAAGATGTAAGTTAAACAGAAGGTAAAATTTGCACTTACTAGACAATTGGACTCTGCCCCTGCCTACATTGTTGGGATTCACTATACAAGATAAATACATAAGCAGGCTGGAATAAAACAACCTGATCTAAGTTGGCATCATCAATATAATTGTATTGAGCAACACATAGAAGCACTGCAAAGATGGCTACAGCTGGCAGAGCTTATTGAACCATGCAGTTTTGGCATTTTTGAAATGTGCAGGACAATCCCCAACACCTGTGTGTTTAACTAAAGCATATATGTGCACACACTAGCACTGTGAGGCACCTATTAGACAAAAGCAGCAAGGAGGTGCTTTGCTGTCTCTATTGAGTGTTCTCAAATTTTTTACTACAACACACGTGCACAAAAACGTGTGTTCGCTTCAGAGGTGATTGGGGAAACATGTGCACAGACTGCATCTTCAAGGGCTAGTTCACACCCTAACTGCGAGCGTCTGTTTTGCTGAGATTTTACTGCAATTTTGACACTTTTTTTTGGCTTAAAATGGGCTTTCAGGTGCAGTCCAGTGCATTTACATGTGTTTTTGATGTGTTCCATTAGGATCAGGTGCAGCTAAAATGAGACAAGCAGTATTTTGTTTCTGACTGCATTGGAACAGACTGCACTGGTGTGAACAGAGCACCAGAAATCCCATAGAAAAGTATGGTGACACAATTTTGATGCAGCTGCCAAACTGAAAGGACTACATCACAACTGCATCTGGTGTAAACTAGCCCTCAAGACACATTATTTTCACTTATGCATGAGTACTAATGCCGATCATATATGCCGAAGATGTTCTAGCATTCACAAGGCAATACCAACATTTTGGTGGTAAGTAACCTCATTGGCCAAAAGCAAGTTAAAGTTTCTAGAAAATTGCATACAAGGTATGCAGTCCACATATCACACCTCCTCATTCAGCCAGAATTGTATCCTTGCTCCACATCTCTACATGATTACTGCTACAATATCAAAGTATATGAGAAAATCTTCTACATTACTGGTTAAACCATATTAGACTAGTGTTTAGGCAGAGTAGTGGGAAGTCAATAACTTTCTCATTAAGTCAATCAATGGATAATCATTTTTGAAAACCTAATTACCCTGTTTCACCGAAAATAAGACCTAGTACTATTTTTCAAGATTCCTGTAATATAAGACCTACCCCGAAAATAAGACCTAGTTTGGTGGTAGCATGTGAGAGGGAACTCAAAGAGCAGGAGAGATGGTATCAGCCTGCAGGGACATACTGTATTAAGATGATGACAGGGGACTCCCTCCGGCCAGCACAGTGACAGGTACCAGTACCATACTACACTAACTGCTGTCCCCCTGTAGGCACTGCTTAATGTAATAGGTACTGTACTGTAATGTGTACCGATAAATGGTACTGTACTTTACCGCGCTGTCCACTGTCTGATGTCCCCACTGCTGCACCGCTGTCCCTGATGGCAAAGGAAGCAGGCGCTGTAGAAAGCAAGGCTGCGGTGGCGGAGGGAGCAGAGCCGCATTAGCCGATACTTACTCTATAGCGCCAGTTACTGTGACAGGCGGAGCACCAGATAACTTTGGATCGTTGTACATTTTGTTGCACATTACAAAAATAAGACATCCCCTGAAAATAAGACCTAATGTGTTATTTGGGGGCAAAACAAATATAAGACAGTGTCTTATTTTCGGGGAAACACGGTAGTAGAATCAGCCCTGGTAGGATGGAAGATGGAAATTTAAAACATTGCAGATATGACATGTAGATTTTGCATGGAACGGAAGGGGGGAATGAAAAAAAGCATATTGCAATTAAGTCAGGGTAGGCCCACATGATTAAGGTACAACTGTCAAAGCTCCTACTAAAGCTGGCCATACACCTTACAATTATCTGCAGATTTTCTGTGGACAGATGGAAAAGGTGGAACCGATTCCTCCATCTACACTTAACTGTGTGAATGGTGTAATCTCCACCTGGGCCAATCTGTTGCACTTTTTCCATCTGACCACAGAAAATCTGCAGATAATTGTAAGGTGTATGAGCACCTTAATGCACATGGAGCACATGGAGCACATGATACAACAAGGCATAACCAGAGGTTAGTTAAGCCCCATTACCTATATCTTTGGATCTACATTTTTATTTTGATATGTGATCCTCACCAAAGGTAACCTCACCCTCATGATCTTTCATCATATGCTAAGTTTGAACAACCTAGATTTTTACAGGTTAGCTTTAATTCTCCTCTATATGATTAGAAACCACATATTCACTGAAACTGGAAATTCTCTTTAACAATGTTCCTTCTATGTCCTACCTTGCGTCTGGTAATAAGGTATGCAGACATAAACTAGGCTGTGCATGCTAGTATATAATGCATATTTTGCACAGAAGACGCTGGAGGCACATTTAGAGTTATACATTATAAATAACCTTTTAGGATTGCATTAAACATAGAACACACTAATATTTTAACAAACTAGTCCCAGGCACTGTTGTCTGCTGTGATCACCTGCCAAAGCAGTAAGTATTTGCTGTAAGGACTGCCTAAGGCAAGCCACAGCACCTGCACATTTCTTGATATTAAACGTGTATACAATGCAGCCTATATGAATAATACAAATGTACTAAAAATTCTTCACTTAACACAACATTTGACTCATGTAGTTTAGCCACAATGAATGCATTTTGGTACACACATTTAAAGCAGTAAGATGTAAAAAATGGCCTGTTTTACATAGCCTGTCTCTATTTCTAACCTTTCTCTTAAAGGAAACCTGAAACAAAAAAATCCAAAAGGGCGCAACACTAGGTGGGCTAACTGACATAAAGGAAACCTATAGTTTTGTCTTGTTAAAAAAAAAAAAAGTGTATCTGATGCCTGATCAACTAAACTTCAAAACCTAAGATGCGTGTTAAACATTTAAAATTGAGTTTTTACTTATCAGTGCACATTAAAGAGAAACGGTCCTCATATCTATGAAATTACAAAACACACCTTTAGAAATGTTTAATAATGACAATCTACAAACAGATACTTCTAGATAATTGCCAGCTTTGTATTCTTTGCCTACCATATTTTAATTTTCCTCCTCATAGTGGCCATTTTCACTAAGGGCAAATTAATCTATCTCTCTTCACTTCCTGGAACTTGGGCACATGTATCTAGGGCATGTGACCATGCACATTATCTCAGTGGAGGAAAATTCCTTTCCATACAATTGTGTGAGAGGTGCGAGACAGGAATGCACCTCCTTGCTGCTTTTGTCTAATAGGTGCCTCACAGTGCTAGTTAAACACACAGGTGTTGGGGATTGTCCTGCACATTTCAAAAATGCCAAAACTGCATTGTTCAATAGGCTCTGCCAGCTGTAGCCATCTTTGCGGGGCTTCTATGTGTTGCTCATTGTGGGAAACACAATTATATTGATGATGCCAACTTACATTAGGTTGTTTTATTCCAGCCTGCTCATGTATTTATCTTGTATAGTGAATTCCAACACTGTAGACAGGGGCAGAGGGGCACAAATGTCTAGTAAGTGCAAACCTTCTGTTTAACTTACAATTTCTCATCTTTGAAACCATGTGCTATTAGCTGATCCAAAGGTTGGGTAAGCTGCCAGCTTTGTTTCGGAGTATATGCATTCCATGATATGAACATCTCTGCATTATTTTAGATTTCTTTTGCAAATTACCGTATTTTGCGGTCCATAAGACGCACCGGACCATAGGACGCAGGGAGGTCCGGCGCGCCTTATGGAGCACTTGAGACTGTAGCTTCTGTGACAGCTTCTATGACAGAAGCTGTCACAGAAGCTGCAGTTAGTGACCGCTGAGACAGATGGCGCTGTGATTACAGCGCCACGGTCTCAGTGATGACACAGAGCAGGCGAAGAACGTCTATTCTTCGTCTGCTCTATGGTTATCTCGATCGTTGCCGCTGCTCGGTTTTAATACGAGTGATCTCATTAGATCACTCGTATTAAACGAGCAGTGGCTCCTGCTGCTGAACTCGATCGCCGCCGCCGCTGCTCGGCTTTAATACGAGTGATCTCGTTAGATCACTCGTATTAAACGAGCAGTGGCTCCTACTACTCGCCCGGCGCCCGAAACTGCATGTCTCGGGCGTCGGGATTCGCTCCATAAGACGCAGGCACTTTTCCCCCCTCCTTTTGGGGGGAAAAAAGTGCGTCTTATGGAGCGAAAAATACGGTAAGTTAAAGAAGAATTCCAGGAAATGTAAAAACAAATAACCTTTGTAGTGGCACCACCTGCACACTGCAGGGATTAACTGTTCATTTTGGTCTAGGGGCTAAAATAAATAGATTCTTGGTCTTGACTGCTAATCCGTTCCCCTCTGCCTCTTCTCCCCAGGGCTCTGGCGGTCCAAGGACGCCTAACATAATCACAACTAATGCAGCTGCATTAGATGCAAGTATGTCAAGGGACATTCCACCGCCAGAGCTAAGAGGGAGAAAGGTGAGTGATTCCGCCGCAGGGCCGAGGATCGTGAGTATGTTTTCTTTACTTTACCCAGAGACCAAAACAAGCAGTTAGCCGCACTGCAAGGGTTAATTTTTACATTGCCTTCAATGGGAAAAAGCAAACAAATCTAATTAATAACCTCACATGGCTTCCAATACCATCTCTATGCCGATGACACTCAAATCTATCTTTCCACTCCACATCTTACCCCCTCAGTGTCCTTGAGTGTCACTAATCTACTAATATCAGTCTGGATGTTGCAACACTTCTTAAAATTCAATCTTTCAAAAAATTAGCTCTTGATATTTTCTCCTGCCCGTGCACCTTCCCCCAACATTTCGGTTGAGATTGCTAACACAATTATCCAACCCTCCCCCCATGCCAAGGTCCTAGGTGTCATCCTTGACTCGGAAATCACATTTCTTCTCCACATCCAATCACTATCCAAATCTTGCCACCTTCACCTTCGTAACATCTCCAAAATACGCCCTTTCCTCACCAATGAAACAGCAAAACTACTCATCAACTCCCTTGTTATCTCTCGTCTTGACTATTGCAACTCCCTCCTTATTGGCCTACCACTACACAGGCTATCCCCCTTCAGTCTATTATGAATGCAGCTGCTAGACCGATCCACCTGACCAACAGCTCAGTGTCTGCAACCTCCCTCTGTCAACCCCTGTACTGGCTTCCACTCGCCCAAAGGATACAATTCAAAATATTAACAGTCACTTAAGAAGCCATCCACAACTCTGCCCCCCAAATATATCTCAAACCTTGTCTCAAAATATCACCCTAACTGTCCACTCCGCTCATCCCAAGACCTTCTACTTTCCAGCTCACTTGTCAACTCCTCCCATACTTCTCTATAGTCTCTCCTATTCTCTGGAACAGTTTACCCCAACCTGTCCGTCTATCTCCCACCTTGACTGCCTTTAGGCTTTCCCTAAAGACTCATCTCTTCAGGGAAGCCTATCCCACCTCAACCTAACCACTGAACCATCACGTTCTCAAACAATTCATCCCCACACAGCTACCTCCTCATGTATCATGTATCATATCCTTGCTAAAGAAGCTGAGGGTAAAGGTGATGGACTGGCCAAGCATGTCTCCAGACCTAAACCCTATTGAGCATCTGTGGGGCATCCTCAAACAGAAGGTGGAGGAGTGCAAGGTCTCTAACATCCACTAGCTCTGTAATGTCGTCATGGAGGAGTGGAAGAGGACTCCAGTGGCAACCTGTGCAGCTCTGGTGAACTCCATGCCCAAGAGGGTTAAGGCAGTGCTGGAAAATAATGGTGGCCACACAAAATATTGACACTTTGGGCCCAATTTGGACATTTTCCCTTAGGGGTGTACTCACTTGTGTTGCCAGCGCTTTAGACATTAATGGCTGTGTGTTTTATTTTGAGGGGCCAGCAAATGTACACTGACAAGCTGTACACTCACTACTTTACATTGTAGCAAAGGTTAATTTATTCTGTGTCATCACAAGAAATTATATCATAAAATATTTACAAAAATGTGAGGGGTGTACTCACTTCTGAGATACGGTATATATATTCTGCAGCAAAACAAACACTTGCAAGCAGTGGCAATGTTGCCGAGATCACTTGTAATAAGACTGCAGCCAGTCCGCCCCCCTCCCCTACCTCTCTCCTCGCTGGCTCCAGGCTCCGTCCTCCACCAGCCGCCGAGTCTCTCTTCTCACTGACGGCCACCCGGGATCGAGTAAACCTTTCCCTGCGATCTGTGTTTTTTTTTCTGACATCGGGGGCCGCCGGCCACCATCAGTCAGAAAAAAAAAAAACCAGCGTAGGAATGCATTGCTAGATTCCTATTGGCTATTTCAATTTGCAATAGCCTATAGCAAACTAGCTATTGCACCCGCCCTCTGCTGCTGTCAATCAGCAGAGGGGGACCTGAAGTTCTCCATCATGTCCCCTACTAGTGATTGACAGCAGCAGAGGGCGGGTGCAATAGCTAGTTTGCTATAGGCTATTGCAAATTGAAATAGCCAATAGGAATCTAGCAATGCATTCCTACGACAAAAAAAAAAAACAAATAACAAAAAAATGATTAAATTAAAAAAATTAAAAGGTGATTAAACAGTAAAAAATATCATGATAACCAGTTTATTGGCAGGATCCTTCCCTGCAGGGACCCGGGCTCCCCTGCACAGGAGGACAGGAGCCTGCCAATCCGCTTGTTACTATTCCCTGGGTGATATGTGGGGGCGTACAGGGACAATGAGGGCATGCTGGAACTTGTAGTTCCCTGGGTAGTATTGTGGGGGGGGTGTAAAGGGACAATTAGGGTATGCTAGGACTTGTAGTTCACTGACGATATGTCCCAGCAGGCTCTCATTTTACCTGCACACCCCCACATATCACCGGGGGGGCGCAAAAGCTTGTTCTGCCCCGGGCGCCCGTTACCCTGGTTACGCCGCTTCTTGCAAGACACAATGTAGTTCCCTTTAAAGCACATAATACAAGGGAAATGAAGAAACCTTACCTTTAATCTCAACATCACATTTGTCACACCATGAAATTACAAGCCTACATAGGAAATCACAGGTTTTTGTCATGTTTCAATCTGTTTACTTTATGAAATTGAAAAATTATCAGAACATATTCCTTTATGCCTGTCAAGCTATCTTTCCCTGCAGGTTACCAAAAGCTGAAGGTTCAACAAAATAGATTGTGAAGGGAATAATTCCCAGTGCTGAGACAAAGATTAGTGATGAATGCCAACTCTGCAAGCTGAAGAGTTCTTACCTTTAGTGGTTAATTACTTACAACAAATGTGACACTGAGAGCAGAACCCAAATGAAACATATTTAATCAACAAAAGACACAGCACAAAAATGGATCAATTTAAATTAACACACAGCTAATTAATACCTTTCTAGAATACTTTCTGAGCCATAAAGAGACAACTATGAATAAGAAAATTGGTAGTAAACAATTCCAACAGGGTGTCGAGGAACCTGAAATCCTACCTTTATTTGAGCGGTATTAAGTGGAATGTGCTTCAAAAGCCATGTACTTGTATTCAATAGATTCATTTAATATGGTCCATTACCTGGGATTTAAAAGCCTGTAATTCTGCTTGAAGTTCATTGATTTTTTCTTCATTTTTCTGCAGTTGGGACTGGGTCTCTTGGCGAATTGTAAATTCTTCTTCATACTGAAAAGCACAGAAATAAGTATGGTCATTTTCCAAAATCAGCCCTGTTAAACAGACAAATTTCCTTTAGTGTGTGTGTGTGTGTGTGTGTGTGTGTGTGTGTGTGTGTGTGTGTGTGTGTGTATGTATATATATATAGATCGATCCTTTAGATATAGTGTATATAGATAGATACACATGATGGGCTACAATTGTATGTTTAGTGTACTGATTTGTATTAAGATTGTAGTCTATCACATAAGTGATCTTGGCTTGGTGACTACTTTACAACACACACAGGGACCATGGGGAAGAAACATATCCACCCTCCAGAAGGAAGGACAGTGTCACCATGAATTCAGAAATGATTTGAGGATCTACAGCGGAGTGGTACAAAAATAAGATACATTTGTGTTAATAGTTACGGTACTTGAATGCATTTTTAAGATTTAAATGCTGAGTTTAGTGCCACTTTGAGGTTAGTGTGTAAAATACCAATGTCACATATGGAACCTTGTTACATTATCAGTATAATGTGTTGGTTTGAGCCCCAATTAGGACCTGTAAGTGTCTGCCTTCTCTGGCTTTTTACTTGTCATACTCATAACATTTTGACAATAAACCAGTCAATGCATAGGCTGGAATGAGATCAATGTATCTGACAGATGCAAGGAGTTATATAGTTACACAGTCAATGGATGGAAATAATAAAATAAAATTCTGCATTCACAGTACCCTAAACCCACAGTTGATCTAGAAGAAAGCAACAAATTCTTATGAAGCATTGTTGGATTTGACCTAACAGGGGGAACATTTCCTTCCTGATTCCCTAAGGCAGTGATGGCTAATGTTTTCTTTATTGAACCTTTCACCTCCAATACAGGAGTTTTAGCACAGCACTTGGCTGGCTCTCTTGCGACAGCTGAGATGAGAAGGCTGCGAGTACAGCGTTCTTGTTTCACGGTTCACGTAAATTTTCCGCTCTGCTCCCCGCTCTCAATCCTCAACTACTTTGGCATGGTCATGGGTCCCACAGAAGAGTGGGGGACCCCGAAAACCACAGAAAGGAGAGAGACAGCCAACAGTGGGGACAAACCATGGAGGGAGGCGGGTGGGGGAGCAGACCATCAGGCTTATTACAAGTGATCTCAGCGGGATTGCTGAGGTCGCTTGTATGACCCAAGTGGTGGCATCCCCGCTCTACATTTAGCCCTAAAAGTG